TCTTCCTTCTGATCGGTTTTGGTTCAAGTGGGGGGTGGGGTTTCCTTCGTGAGTCAGACAGCCTGGATACTGCGCCCTGGTTCCCCAAGAACACAGAGCTGACAGGCAACACCATCTAGAGGGTCATCATGCTGCTCTAGGAATCCGCATGCCTGAGAAGAGCAGTGGTCCATCTAGTCCAGTGATCATTGTCAGGTGCTTTAAAAAAGGCCTGATCCCAATCAGCACTCAAGGGCAAACGGTCTCAGAACCAGTTCCCAAGCTCCTGAGCCTCCCAGTCTGCCTAGTGTCCCTTAGCTGTTTCTTTGCAAACATGTACATTTCTTGCTCACCGCGTTTTTCCTGCCAAAGAATGGCCGCTTAACCAGGTGATGGGCCATTGGATTATTCTGCCACTTGGCTGAGGTGCTGGCTAGCCTTTTGTCTCTGAGGAACTGGTTTGTGTCTTGTCACGGGGCTCTGCACGTCCATTAAGGGGAGGGGTGCCCCCCTCTTGCCCAGTGCAGGGTTGATACACCCTGTCACACAGTTGTGACTCTCAGCTGGGCCAGACTGGGGCAGATGAACAGGCTGTAGCCCCTTGGCCTCTTGGCTGGGGCACACACTAGCAACCAGCAGATTCAGTCCCCTGCTCGGGGGGAACAAACAAACAGTCTATAGCCCCTGAGCCTCCTGGCTGGGGCAACCAATCACAGATAGGGCTCTGGCCCCCTGGGTGGGACAGAACAAACAAACAGTGGCCAGGGTCTCCGGCATTACTGGGATGGAGGGTGGGGGAACCTGGGCCCACCCTACTCTACCAGGTTCCGACCCAGGGCCCTGTGAAGCTGGTAACCCCCCACTTCAGGATTCAAGTATCGGCATCCAGTACATTCCCTGGGTCACTGCCTACCCTTAAGGCCAATGCAGGCCTGTCTTCCACTAGCAGCAGTTTGGTGTCCCTGTCAGTTTGGTGTCAGTCTCTACTGCCGGTGTGCTCTCCACAGCGTAGTCCAGGATACCTCAGCTGTCTGGGGGATTGACTGATCTTTGGTAGGAGCCAGCAGCACACGTCCATCCTCCCCCTTAGCCAGCCCCACATGAGCTGGCCAGCTTCCTTTTATCTGCTCTCTCCACCTGGAGCATAGGTGAGAGGGAGTGGCCTCTTGTGCCCAAAGTGACTGGTTAACCCCCATGTGGTTGCCCATCACATGCCTGCTTTTCTAAACTTGGAGCATGTCTCAGTAAAGTCATACAGTAGAATCTTATAACTTTACATACAATGTTGCCACACATATTTTACCAGGACAATAATGTTCAGCAGATTATGAGTTTTCACGTGATACCTCACAAAGCATATGTGATAAATGACAGGGGGGATAGCTCTCTTTTGTGGACACCCAACAATCTAGTTGGCTATGGAATCCCTCTTGGTGGTTGTTCTCTACTTACTTTACCTGTAAAGGGTTAACAAGCCCACAGGTAAAAGGAAAGGAGTGGGCACCTGACCAAAAGAGCCAATGGGAAGGCTAGAACTTTTTAAAATTGGGAAAAAAAACTTTCCCTTTGTGTCTGTTGTTGTTTTCCAGAGAGGGGATACACAGAGCAGCAATGCTGTAAGCAGCTTTAAAACCAGGTATGAAAAAGCATCAATTCATACCTCGAACCTACTTATCTGAAACCCCAGATGTGTAAGTAGATGAGGAATGTCTAGAAAGATGTGATTAGGTTTATTTCTTTTATTTTGTAAGGCTTGTGGACTTCTCTGTGCTAACCCCAGATGCTTTTGTTTTGCTTGTAACCTTTAAGCTGAACCTCAAGAGATCTATCTTGATGCTTAATTTTTGTAATTGTTTCTTTTAAGATCTAGCAAAAAGCCTAAGTTCCAGATGTATTTTCTTTCTTTTTGGGTTTAATAAAATTTACCTTTTTTAAGAACAGGATTGGGTTTTTGTGTCCCTAAGAGGTTTGTGCACATGTTGTTTAATTAGCTGGTGGCAACAGCTGATTTACTTTGTTTTTTTCTCAGCTCTTCCCCAGGGGGGTGGTGAAAGGGCTTGAGGGTACCCCACAGGAAGGAATTCCCAAGTGCTCCTTCCTGGGTTCTCAAAAGGGGTGGGGGGGGTTTTACACTTGGGTGGTGGGAGCATCTACTCATCCAAGGTCAGAGAGAAGCTGTGACCTTGGCAGTTTAATACCAGCCAGGAGTGGCCAGTATTAATTTTTAAAATCCTTGTGGGCCCCCACCTTCTGCACTCGAAGTGCCAGAGTGGGGAATCAGCCTTGACAGCATACTTTGTACCAAATTTATCATAGTCCTGTAGAAAGGGAGAACCTAGGGATACAGACTGTCACACCACGTGCCGTCCAGCGACTCACAGCTGTGCTGTGCGGTTCTCTGTCTCCCAGGGGGAGGATTGTGAGTGCAGAGCCATGCCTTGTTTTGGCAGAGCTGGATTTTGGGTTCAAATACCCACCCAGCTTGGTGTGTGTCTTAGAGGAGGCCAGTGAGATACTGGCACTAGGCACTTGGAGCAGGAGGCAGAGAGGTCTAGGATGGGCCTTAGGTCCTGCGGAGGTTTGTTCCACAGTCTGGGACTGTTTGCAATAAGGCCAAGAACTGAGCATGCCTCAGAACCTGAACTGCTGTGTCCCAGGTTCATGCATACTGCAGTGTCAGTGCAGGGGAAGGGGGCAGGGAGGGGGCTAGCCATGCTCTCTTACCAATTTAGACTGCAAGCTCTTTGGGGCAGGGACAGTCTCTGGCCGGGCCTATATTTAAAATATATGTTGACACAGCTATGGCTGAGTGCCTGCCACCCCGAGTGCCATAGCATTGCTGCCCTAAGGCCCAGCATAGACACAGCTAGATTGATGGAAGAATGCTTCCATTGACCTCATGGCTGTCACTCAGGGAGGTGGTGTTCCTGCACCCCGTCTGTCGCTATAGAATCATAGAATATCAGGGTTGGAAGGGACCTCAGGATGTCATCTAGTCCAACCCCCTGCTCAAAGCAGGACCAATCCCCAACTAAATCATCCCAGCCAGGGCTTTGTCAAGCCTGACCTTAAAACTCTCTAAGGAAGGAGATTCCAGCACCTCCCTAGGTAACCCATTCCAGTGCTTCACCACCCTCCTAGTGAAATAGTTTTTTCCTAATATCCAACCTAGACCTCCCCCACTGCAACTTGAGACCACTGCTCTTTGTTCTGTCATCTGCCACCACTGAGAACAGCCGAGCTCCATCCTCTTTGGAACCCCCCTTCAGGTAGTTGAAAGCAGCTGTCAAATCCTCCCTTACTCTTCTCTTCTGCAGACTAAACAAGCCCAGTTCCCTCAGCCTCTCCTCATAACTCATTTGCCCCAGCCCCCTGATCCTTTTCGTTGCCCTCCGCTGGACTCTTTCCAATTTGTCCACATCCTTTCTGTAGTGGGGGGCCCAAAACTGGACAAAATACTCCACATGTGGCCTGACCAGTGCCGAATAGAGGGGAATAATCACTTCCCTTGATCTGCTGGCAATGCTCCTACTTATACAGCCCAATATGCTGTTGGCCTTCTTGGCAACGAGGGCACACTGCTGACTCATATCCAGCTTCTCGTCCACTGTAATCCCCAGGTCCTTTTCTGCAGAACTGCCGCTTAGCCAGTTGGTCCCTAGTCTGTAGCAGTGCATGGGATTCTTCTGTCCTAAGTGCAGGACACTGCACTTGTCCTTGTTGAACCGCATCAGATTTCTTTTGGCCCAATCCTCCAATTTGTCTAAGTCACTCTGGACCCTATCCCTACCCTCCAGTGTATCTACCGCTCCCCACAGCTTAGTGTCATCTGCGAACTTGCTGAGGGTGCAATCCATCCCATCAACCAGATCATTAATGAAGATGAACAAAACCGGCCCCAGGACCGACCCCTGGGGCACTCTGCTTGATACCAGCTGCCAACTAGACATTGAGCCGTTGATCACTACCCGTTGAGCCGACAATCTAGCCAGCTTTCTATCCACCTTATAGTCCATTCATCCAATCCAGACTTTTTTAACTTGCTGGCAAGAATACTGTGGGAGACCGTATCAAAAGCTTTGCTAAAGTCAAGATATATCACATCCACTGCTTTCCCCATATCAACAGAGCCAGTTATCTCCTCACAGAAGGCAATCAGGTTGGTCAGGCATGACTTGCCCTTGGTGAATCCATGTTGACTATTCCTGATCACCTTCCTCTCCTCTCCAAGTGCTTCAAAAAGGATTCCTTGAGGACCTGCTCCATGATTTTTCCAGGGACTGAGGTGAGGCTGACTGGCCTGTAGTTCCCTGGATTCTCCTTCTTCCCTTTTTTAAAGATGGGCACTACATTAGCCTTTTTCCAATCGTCTGGGACCTCCCCCGATCGCCTGTAGGATGTATCTGCACTACGGAGTTGTGCTGGCATAGGTACGGCCCTGGAGCTCTGCTGCTCTAGTCCCTGTACTGGAGGCCTGGCTTTTCACCATGTCTCCGATCTTGGTTGGGGCCTTGAACGGGTGAAGGGGACGGTAGTGGAAAAAGGCCCAGTGCTTTCTGCTGCTGTGTGAAACACTCCCAAGGTGCCAGCATTTAACTGGGAATACCGGCCAGAGGAGACTTGCATGGTTAGTGGTGGGAGCGTTTTCACGCTCGGGTTGGGGAGTGGGGAAGCCTGGACCTGATGCAGAGGCAGGACAGCTCCTTGGAGGGGGAGACACTGGCACGACAGTCAGAATGGGGAGCCCTGGAGAACCAGCCAAGTTCTTGGGGGATGTGGCATTTGCTCGGAGACGACAGGGCTGGTGCATCCAAAGGGGAGCTGGTTTAAGCAGCTGGGCCCAGCCTGGGATCTCTGTGACTGGCTGGGCCCTGCGGGGGTCTCAGTGACCATTGGACACCAATACATTTTGGCCCAGCAGCCAGTGCTGCTAGGGCTAGTGAAGGGCATCTGCCCCCTGAGCGGGAGCAGGGGCAGGAGCAGGAGCAGGGTGTGATGCAGCCTATGTTGGTCTCTTTCAGGAACTGGTGCTCGTACATGGTCACAAGGACAGTTTCCTGCCATGTCCAGAATGGCACCTTCCTGCAGAGGGTGTTCCAAGGCTGCCGCTGGCCTGGGGGCTGCAACGGAGGCAGGTGAGAGAGACGCTGCTGCATCTTTAAACTTCCCCTTCCACCACCCCCACTCCCTGCCACATGCTGCTTGTCTGCTGTGCCGCACGTGGGCAGAGCTGGGCATGGGAGGCACACATCCAGAGTTCATGCTGCAAGGTGGGGAGGTTTTGCTTCCTCGTAGGGCCCCTCACGCTCGAACTGCTGCGGCCCTGTAGCAGCACATGGGCTGCTCCTCCTCCTCGCACCGCAGAGACCCACTCAGTCTGCACTGGCGGGGTAGCCACACGCTCCTGCTTATTACGTTCTCTCCACCTGTGCAGCAATACTATGGCCAACCTCCCTGCTATCCCCAGGCCCAAGAGGAACAGAGGTCTCCCTTCCTGGAGATCTCACTGATTCTGGACTCAGCTGGCACATCCTTCCTGTGCCTTTGGATCAGGCCTCAGCTGATGGGCTAATTAACCCTTTAGCTCTCCCAGCTGTGATCCTGATGAACAAATTACATGTTTGCCCAGCCAGGCCTCTCTGAGGGAGCTAGAATGATCGGGGTGCAGTAGCTGGTGAGCTGCTCTCTGTTACTGGGAGGGGAATGAAGAATTAAGCTGTTGTGCCCATCCAGTCCCAGATTCCTCCCTCTGCCCCAGCCCAGAGGGACCATCCGCTCCTGGGGCTGCTAGGCCACTCAGCCTCTGTTTTCATGAAGACTTGGGCTTCCCTCCACCCACTCTGATGGGATCCAGCCTACAGCCCTTCTCAAGGGAGTGCTCCATCGATCCTGGATCCTTCCACAGCAGCCCCCACCTGGAACGGCCTCATCGGGTGAGGGTAGTGTGGCTTCCCCACTCATTCCTGCCCCATGTTGCTCCTACACCATGGGAGGCTCCGGCCCATTAGCTGATCCCAGCAGGGGTCAGGCAGGAATCCACTCCCTTCCCATGCAATGCTGAAAGGGGGACAGCAAGGAGCAAACTTCCACCCCCGGGAAGCATCAGGCCTGGGTGCCTGCGGAGATGGAGATGGGATACCCACCTGGGCTGATCTGTAGCCTGCCTGGTGGTGACAAATGTTAGGGATGCTGGTGCTGAGCCTGGCCCCTGAGAACAGACCAAGCTCCTGACGCCGGGGCCCTTTCCGTTTCGCAGCTACAGAGCCATCGTAAGACCAGCGTACAAGGTGGCCTACAAGACGGTCACGGCTCTGGAGTGGAAGTGCTGCCCAGGCCACTCAGGGGTCAACTGCGAAGAAGGTAGGAAAAGCCGGATGAACAGGGCTCCTGGGGGATGTTCTCAGCTGTGTGAGCCACAGGGCAGCTGCTGGGAGCACTGGGGCACTGCAGCCCCGAAGAGCTGGCCTGGATCAGAACAGTCCCCTTGTAGCACAGGATTGAAGGGGCCTGGATTCAGATCCCTTCCACTGTGGGGCAGA